GAGATCATATAGAATGGTGCTAATGTTTTAAATAAATTTATAGTATAATTAGTTAAAATAGTATTATTTGAAATTGATTTTATTATAGGTGGCATAATAGTATTAGGTACCTTCTTTTCCTCTATGTTTTCCAAATAAAGTAAATTTTAATTTTAATTATCAAAAAAAAATCAACGTTGAAACATAAGGAAAAAACCTGATCAACATACATGGCTTCGCCCAATTTATACGCAAATAACACGATATCGACTAACGGTTTAGCAATATCCGAATACAAGTGACTCAAATTTTCCGCGAATTTATCAATGTCCTAATTTTCACAGAATAAAAGAGCGTTAAAATCATAATAATAAACCTAACCAAAGAAAATAAAGCGAAACTTTACCTGTGTCAATAATTGATCAGCATTCTGAATTCGATTATCAAGATTTGAAACCTTGTAGAATGTTATACCTTTGAGGTATTGTTCATGCGCGTACTTGACAAAAAAAATAATTTAATATTTTTACAATGAAGCAATAAAAAATTAGAGTAAAAAAAAAAGATATAAAGTTTACCCGAGTCAGACGAGAACGGAATGACAAAGCTAAAGCACTAATACATAATTTTAGAGAATTATTCACTATACTCATTGGCCACTATTTTGGATTTTTAAATATTATTTCAATAAAAACAAATCCATCTCTTCGCCATTCTCAACATAAAAAAAATGAAACATAGATTTTTATATTTACCATCATGAAGCCAAATTCGACCACTGCCAAAGCGATAAAATTTCTGCGATCACGAGAGACAATGGCTTTTACTACGTGTCTAAAAAATAAAAGTTTCCCGATTTGTTGGCGCGTGTCTTACAGGAAAGCACGTGTATTTTATAGTAGAGCAAAGACAAATCTTACCCATTGAATCCTGAAAACCTGAGGTCATAATCAAAATTATTATAAAAATAGAAAGAATTAATGATGAATTCACTCAATATACCCGTTCACACTCACCAAATATCAAGTGCAGTTCTACATATGAGCACAACTGCTAAACTGACAAGTAAAGCGGATTCTTTACTAGCAATGCCTAAACAAAAAGTCAATACATATTTATCCAGTGAACTATCGATCAATCAACAATTCGATCATGTTATTTGTCTAAAAAAGTTACCTGGTATGCAAATAGGAAGCAACTTTTTAACCTGTGCCAAAAACCGTGCGTCAACACCAACACGCTTCGACCGTCTATTTCTATTATCTTGGACAGGCACGCCACCTCGCGTAGCTGATAATCGAGCTTGTCTTCGTCTTTCTTGTTGCGCGCGGCGATGGTAAAAGTATATGAATAACAGGAGGCCAAATAGTACTGAGAAACGACCTTTTCGGAACGAAGAGGATAATGGGTTGGCGGTTGATAATGTTTGTCCCATTTTTTTATATATTTATTTTTTAATATTATATAATGATAAGAATAATAAGAATAATAAGAATAATTGGAATTTTTTTTTTGACAAAGTGTCTTTTGTTTGAAAGCGTGTGTTGTTTGGGTTAGCCGAGGTCGTCGTCGTCGAGGGCCTGTTCTATTCTATTTGTCCAGTGGCTCCAAGAAAAAAGCCCGTCAAACAGATCGTGGTAGAGTCATTCAGAAGTCAATATGCATGAAAATAGCACTACAAGATAAATATATTTTTCGTGTGAGAAATTGTATGAAAATAGTGCGAATAATTTCTCTGATACTACGAACATTTTTTTGATATCGATCGTTTTACAAATATGTCAAGACTCATATTACGTAAAAAAAAGTAGATTTAAAATAACGATAAGTGATTAATAAAATAATTAAATAAGCCCTAAATATCAAATATTAACCCCACCTACATACATTTTAACAATAAATTTTTTTTTTAATTACAGCATATACCGATATACAAAAACAGGTTGATGTTCTAATCTAAGTATAGTTAGATGATGTATCAATAGCATATTTCTCAATTAAGATGTTTTAAAATCATCACATTTTCTTTGCAGCATGTTACTTGGACCAACGCGTCCACTATGTCTCGCTACGAATCAACTGATAATGACAGCTACCACCAAAACCACTAGAAATACCCTTGGAATTTATATTTGGTTCAGAGGCAGCCGGTTAGAGTCGACGCAAACTCAAAAAAGGGAATGGCCGCCAAAACCGTTAGGGATTAAACCGCCGCGATGTAATAAACTTGCTTATTTAAGTGCTTGGTAGAATTCAAAAAAAATTAATTTGATGCAAGAATGAATATATGTCATTTACTCTTCTTCTGTATCTATCTACAACTTTTTCTCTGGATATATACACATCTTTGATCAAACGAAAAAAAGCCTTAATGAAACACCCGCAAGTACTTCCACCAACCAAACTACTGCCACGAAAGAAACAAGGTCCGTATCTTCGCGCGAAAAACAAAGAAATGTGGAGGAAAAAAGCAATAGCGGCAGAACGCGCCAAAGAACGAGAAAAAGCGCGAGTTCCCCGCCTTGGTCCACGATTCCCGAAAAAGAAAGTACCGTATAATCCACGAGTAAATACAAATATTGGGGTTCCACATTCCGCGATTCTGAGAGCACCACGCCGAGGATACTCACCAAAACAAAAAATTCCGGAAAAAGCATTGAATTATTATCAGCGTAAATTGGAACGAATATTAGAAGTGCAAAAAATGGAAAAGAAGCAAGAAGAAAATCCAAAGGTTTTAACAACAGCTGATACGACTACCCCGACCACATCTACGACGACGACGACAAGGAGGAAGTTGGTTTTAGCTGCTGCACAAAAACGAAGCTCATCAAAAAGTTCACCTATACTTTTGGATAACCCACTTCAAGATTTCCCACCAATGAGTATCGAGGATCAAGTTCTAGATTACCCACCAATGAATATCAACGGGCAAATTCTTTATGGTCCTCCACCAGCCATATATGGCATTTCAAGCTCCCGTATAAAACATCAACAAATATTCCCCCCGGATCCACCACCAAATCTTGACGTTGATCGGCCCAAGGTTAAATACCCGTATTTTGTTCAACGGACAAAGTATAATATGATACCCGTGTATACCGATATAAAAAATGGGCGTTCACGAGTTCTGACTATTGTACGGCGAATCGAGGGAAATATTAAGGTATTGAATGATTATAATGAGTATTTTTATTTGT